CACACACACGTATATATATATATATATATATATATATATATATATATGTATATGTATGTATGTGTGTGTATGGGTTTATGATTTAAACATTAACAAATCTGCCAGTGGAAAAATAAACCACATTGGCAGATATTTGTACTTGTGTCTAGTATAAACTTGGGCACGATTTTATGAGTGATCATACAAAATATCATTATATTTTAAACGATGAAAAAGTTCTTGCTGTGAAAAATCAGGAAATATGTATGTATCTCTCTCTATTGATGAATGCTTTACACCCAGTGCACCATCCCCCCTCTTTCATAGATGGAAACTCTGATTCCCATCATTAACAGACTGCAGGAGGTTTTCCTCACAGTTGGAGCCAAGATCATCCAGCTTCCTCAGATCGTAGTCGTGGGGTCACAGGTGAGTCATGAAAAACATGCAAGGTGTGGATTTGAGTCTGTATGCAGTGTATTAGAATGTAAACCGTCACTACTTCAGGCGTGATCTTTGTTTTGTGATAATAAATCATCAACGTCATGAGGTAGGCCTACATGTAAACACAGTTCCAGTATTTCTGTTGGTCTCTTCAAATGAATCTCCAGAGCAGTGGAAAGAGTTCAGTACTGGAGAGTTTGGTTGGACGAGACTTTCTGCCCCGAGGTTCAGGAATAGTGACTCGGCGCCCTCTAGTGCTACAGCTGGTGAACGTGCCTCCGCTGGAGGAGAGGCGGAAACAAGACAATGGTAACAGCTTACAAGTGTCTCTCTTTGAAGGGTTTACTATATTGACTGCAGACACAAATATTGTGTCACAAAATAGTGGTCTTTTAACCTAAATAGTGTTTTGGGGCATCAAAGACATGACTGTGATGCCTGGAAATGCTTTCTAGGTAACTTACTAGGTTTTACAACACACCTTGAAAGTTTTGAACATATTGAAAAAAAACAGTTTTTCACACAATAACATGTCTAGCACAGTAGTGCTTGCTTTGCATACCTTGAAATAGAAGTAGGCCAAGTATTTTTTCAGTGTTCTTAAAGTAAAACATGTTCTGGGTTTAGAAGTAGAGCATATTTGCTAAAACACACACCATAATACAAAAAAAATATTGCCATAATACATCGATATTTTACGTGGTAATAAAAAACGTACGAGTTAATTGAAGTTGGTAAGATTTTTTTATTTGTTCAAAAATTCAGTCAAAAATGAATTACAGTTGAAAATGTTTCTGTTTTAATATTTAAAGAAAATGTAATTTATTCCTGTGATCAAAGCTGAATTTTCTGCATCATTACTCAATCCTTCAGAAATCAATCTAATATGATGATTTGCTGCTCAAGAAATGTTTATTATTATTATTATTATTATCGATGTTAAAACAGTTGTGCTGCTTCATATTTTTGTGAAAAATGTGATACATTTTTTCAGGATTTTTTGATGTATAAAAAGTTTAAATAAAAATCTTAACATGCCATTATAAATGTTGTTAATGTTACTTATGACCAAATTTATTCCTGAATAAAAGTATTAACTTAAAGGGATAGTTCACCCAAAAATGAAAATTTGGTGTTTATCTGCTTACCCCCAGGGCATCCAAGATGTAGGTGACTTTGTTTCTTCAGTAGAACACATTTGATGATTTTTAACTTTAACCGTTGCAGTCTATCAGTCGTATAATGCATGGCAATGGTAACAAAATCTATGAGAGTAAAAAAAACATGCACAGACAAATCCAAATTAAACCCTGCGGCTCGTGACGACACATTGATGTCCTAAGACACGAAACGATCGGTTTGTGCCAGAAACCGAACAGTATTTATATAATTTTTTACCTCTAATACACCACTATGTCCAACTGTCTTTGGGCGCGCGCACGGCATCCGGTGCGTGAGGTGTGTGTACGCTCTGGCGTAGTTTACGCAAGCGCCTCAAGTGATCTCTCGTGCGTATACGTCACTCAGTGTTTACACAGTGCACAAACATTGTAGGTACGACGGCTAATCAAAATGGTACTTACTATCAGTCTGGCGAGTAAACAAAAAAATGTACAAGCCAATGGCGATTCAATTGCCAAGGTGTCCGTAGAGGGCTGAAATGTGTTCTACTGAAGAAACAAAGTCACCTACATCTTGGATGCCCTGGGGCTAAGCAGATAAACATCAACTTTTCATTTTTGGGTGAACTATCCCTTTAAGTAATTAATTTATTTTAAAAAAAATTGTTGATACCAACATTTATGAACAGAATTTATATATTATATATTTGTAGTTATTGTATATAAAATTAAGCATGCTAACAAAAAAGAGAGCTTCATATTTCTTAGGAATGTCCATCATATTTCTTCATATTTCAATGGGTTTAATTTTTAAACCTCCTGGGATGTCTTGTCCCATAGACTTTTATTTATTGCTTTATTTTTTCACACATACTGTAGATCTTCTCGTATTGAACCCGGAATGTTCCTTTTAGCATCCGCTCTCTGACAATGTTGATGTGTAAATGTGTTCCTAATCCACTTACAGTAGCGTTTCCTCCTAACCCTCTCTCTGCTGTCCTCTCTGTGCTTTCTCAGGGAATGGAGCTAAACACAACAGCCAAAACAATTATCCAGGTCTCTGTTTTCAACACGTGTTCGTCTGTCCATTTCATTCTTCTGGTGTGCTTCTCATCCCACAGCTCTTCCTCCGTCTTCTGTTTTATACATTTATAATAATTTTTTCCATCTGTTATGCTTTCATTTCTAAATCCTCCTGGTATTTTTCCTGCACTTTGAGACTAGAGCAAATGCATGTTTGGGCTTCACTCTCTCAGTTGTGTACTAACAGCAACATTTCTGGTTGAACATTGATTTCACATTTCATTTTCCTTGCCTGTAAAAAGCTTTTATTTCCATTGAGGTCTTTTATGGGAATAGGGTTTCTGCTGGGTTCAGTGTCATACATATTGATTTTGTGCGTTGTCTTGTGTGCTCTCTCGTTCTTTGGTTCTTCTAAAGGTATCAAAGCAGAAGAATGGGGCACCTTCCTTCACTGCAAAAACCAGGTAATTAAAGAGTTGGAGTTCTTGTTGAAGAAATAGGTCATTCAGAAAACGTCATAGCTTGTTATGATGAGCCTGCACTCTATTGAGATGCGTTCTCTCTTTGCTCAGATTTTCACCGATTTCAGTGAAATCCGGAAAGAGATCGAGGAGGAAACGGATCGTAGTACCAATAATAAGGTGCAGTGGAAGCGCTTCATATAGTTTGACATACTCTCTCAGGCTCTGTTTTAATTGATCTCTTTTTCCTCCCCAGGGCATCAGTCCAGAGCCCATTTACCTGAAGATATATTCCCCTAACGTACTCAGTCTGACGTTAGTTGACTTGCCTGGCATCACTAAGGTAACCACAATGACTGGACATGTCCGTTTACCATGTAATGCAAACAAACCCATTTGCTTAAGGATAAAAAGCAGAATTGAAATCAAAAGCTGTCAATTTAACATGTTATTTTAGCACTATAAAGTCTATAAAAATACAGCAATAAAATAAATAAGAGTTCAAGAAACTAACTTCTCAGAGTAAATGACACCACATACAGTATGCTTGTGTAACTGATTTATTATTTTCACATTTTTTCACATTCACAGATTTTGACTAGTAGTGTAAAGTCTGGTCCACATTCCAGCTTATTATGATCAAAAGACTGCCACTTATAGACGGGAAGAGCATCTAACTGATTAAAACGACCAACCACAGTTTTTACACGATGTTTAGAGACAATTCAATCTGAAATCAGACATTGATAGTGTGGTTAAAGTCCCCATGAAATCAAAATTAAAGTTTTTTGGGTGTTAGTATCAACATGTTAGTCTTAAGGTTATCTATAAGGCAGTGTGCTCCAAAACAGTGACAAAATTCGCATTTAGAAGATATAACCATTCAAAGCTTGCAGTTCGTCACTTCCGCCAAAACGGCTCAATGATTTTTTTGACGTCACATCGTACTTCAGCTTTTTATCAAACTTTCTGTCCAATCAAATGCTCTCTAGAATACGAAGCCCCGCCCCCTACACTATAAAATAGATGCTGAAGCCGCGGCTGAAATCGGTCACTTGTCCACAGAATTAGTATTTTCTGTTCAGTGAATGGCACGTAGTGCACTATATAGGGGACAGGGAACGATTCAAACAGTGTAAATATGCTTTCCATTGAGGAAAAAAAGAAGTCTGGTTTTGCGCTGTCACGCTAACCACCGCAGCGCACACACACTCTGCTCCGGTCCAGAGACACGATAGCACGGAGCGGATCACATGCGCGAGTCGGCGCAGACCACAAAATGTATCGGAGCTATTTATACAAGATGCAGTGCTATTTTGAGCACTGCATCTTGACAAACTTCACTAGTCAAATCCAGTGTCTAATTCTTTCTAAATGAAATTAAATTAAAATCAGAGCTAAAACACACAGGATCCCCTCCTAACTCGAAGCGAGTATATCAAACACTTTATAATGTGGAGACTGGCCAGTTATTTCAAATATGTGACCCTGGAGCACAAAAGCAGTCTTAAGTCGCTGGGGTATATTTGTAGCAATAGCCAAAAATACATTGTATGGGTCAAAAATATAGATTTTTCTTTAATGCCAAAAATCATTAGGATATTAAGTAAAGATCATGTTCCATGAAGATATTTTGTAAATTTCCTACTGTAAATATATCAAAACTTAATTTTTGATTAGTAATATGCATTGCTAAGGACTTAATTTGGACAGTTTTAAAGGCGATTTTCTCAATATTTAGATTTTTTTGCACCCTCAGATTCCAGATTTTCAAATAGTTGTATCTCGACCAAATATTGTCCTATTATCCTAACAAACCATACATCAATGGAAAGCGTATTTATTCAGATTTCAGATGATGTACAAATCTCAATTTAAAAAAATTGACACTTAAGACTGGTTTTGTGGTCCAGGGTCACATATATTCTAGCAGAGTATTCATTGTATTATTAACTTCTCAATTATTTATCACTACTTCAAGGAATAAGTAACTTAAAAATGAATGTTCTGTTGTCATTTACTCCTCATTTTATTATAAACTAGGATTACATTTTTATCTTTGGGACACAAAAGGAGATATTTAATAAATATCCGATTGGGTAAGTTTAATACAGTAGCTAAAAAGGTCTGTTGTCTTTTATCAAAGAGCACACACAGAAGTCACTTTCAAACTAAGCGTCTTTCTATTGTTCAGCAGTGAATTCGTGTGAGGAACTTAAACCTGTTGGGAAATCTTTTGAGCTCATGCAAAATTCTTGATCGCATGGATTCCTATTGAGATGACAGGATTTTACACACTCAAATTCTCTGAACAACAAACAATGTGTATGCACTGAATATAATTGAAATCCATTGCTTCTAGGGCTGCAACAACAAATCACTAAAGTCAATTTTTATCGGTAATGAAAACAATTGACAACAATTTCTTTTCAATTAATTGCGTCTGCCCATCTGCTGGTCATGTCAGTTTAGAGAAGTGAATAACATATTTCTATGGACAAAATGCATATGACATATAGAAGAGGACACAGAGAGAGCTGCTGCTGGAAAAGTGCATGACCCAAGTTGTCCTGTACGTAAGAACACTTTATAGCATACTTGACAGATATGTGTGCTATTTAAAGCATTTGAGATGTGTTTTCATCAGTGCATAACTTACATTTCACAGCTGTATCCTTATCTGTAAATGTTAAAAAGTCATGCTATTATTTCCATTTTGCATAAAGGCTAGTCCTGAAAGCTAGCAGATCTCTGTAAACTTCACAGACTTCACTGAATGAACGTCTGTGTATGTGTTTCAAGCAGACAGAGCACCCAAAGAATATATATTTTCCAATATATATTTTTTTATTTGAAAATATACAAAAATGGTCCAAAAATATATATTTAATATATAATATATGTATGTAACTATATTTTCTACCAATATATTTTTTTGGCCATTTTGTTTTGAAAATATAATATAAAAATATAAATATCTTTATAGATATTGCCCTATGTATTTAAAAAAAATTATAAATACATTCACGTCACATTTGAAGAAAAACTGAATTTCTTGTATATAAAGTGAACATTTAAGTAAAATCCAGCAAGAAACCTATTTTAAAAATGCTATATTAATATAAAAAATTAAACGCTATTAACATATTTAGCATATTAAAAATATATTTTGGCCACAAAGATAAGTAACACTTTATTTTACGGTGTCTTTGTTACAGTACTTACTTTTAAAAATACTAAAAATATAGGAGTGCAATAATTCTGATTTAATACATTTTGTTAAAATATTTCTTGTCAGACATTAAATGTAGGTTTAAAAATGTAGTTTTTCAGGTCTAGCCTTATGAAAAACAGAAATAAAAGTGTCACTTTATTTGCACATAATGTATAGCATAACCTACTTAGATGCATTCACTATATTTGTTTTCAGAGCCTTCAGATTGCACATTGTTTGGAAGACAACATTGGGCGGGATGTGGAATTACATTTTTAATAATGGGTTAAAATATTTTTTTATTGCATGTTAATAATTAGTGATATTATTTGGATTTTTTTGTTGCATTAAAGTTGCAGCCCTAATTGCTTCATTCACCCGCTCATTCTTCGTCACGTGATGTGATCTGTTTTGAGTAGGTCCCTGTTGGTGACCAGCCTGAAGATATCGAGACTCAAGTGCAAGAGATGATTCTGTCCTACATCTCCAACCCCAACTCCCTCATCCTGTGTGTCTCTCCTGCAAACTCTGACCTCGCCACATCGGATGCCCTTAAACTGGCACGAGAGGTAGACCCAGATGGTGAGCGGCATGCAGGGAATGTGATTATTACACATTGAGCAGCGCTGTGGTATTCATTGGCTGTGTGCGCTCAGGTCGCAGGACGCTGCTGGTGGTGAGTAAGCTGGATCTGATGGACGCGGGGACAGATGCTCTGGAGGTGCTGCTGGGCCGGATCATACCCGTCAGACTGGGCATTATCGGTGTGGTTAACAGGTCAGCTACCCTATTACCTCTTACCCTGTCTGGATTTTACATGTAACTTTTAAAATAACATTTTAGATCCAAAATTCAATCTCCAAAGCAGCAGACTGATATCTTAGTTGTTATTCACTGATAATAGATAAGATAGTCCTAAAAATTTAATTTACTGTATAATGCGGAATGTCACAGAATTTGTCAAAGTTTGGATGAATTAATCAAAAGTAGGTCATTACACTTAAATCAAATTGCGATATGGAGTAGTATCTGTAAATATTAAGCAGCCAAAAGACTATTTGAATATGAATCATTCATGTCAGTCCAGAACTGCCCTGAGAGTTTCTTCATGAGCATTTGACCTTTTCTTTTGAGAGAAACTATCGTCATATCGCGCAGAAATGTAAAGGTATTCACGGCAACCCGTCAAAATAAAAGTTTAGTTTAACTTGAAGACATTACTATTGTTTAGTAGAATGTAAGTAATACTACTACTACTATTACTAAAAAAATGATTACAACTTTATTTTATTAAGCAATAATTACACATTTCTTGTACTAGTATATTTCTTCTACTAGTAACTGTTTGCCAAAAAATAAAGTTTGTTTAATTTTCATTTGATTAAATGTTAAATTCAGTTAATATGTTATACCTTCATTTGATAACCAGAAAAATGTAAATACAAAACACAAAAGTGCAGTATTCCACTGTATTGCATAGATAGGCATAACATATAACTAAATAAGCCAAATACAACTCTTCATGATCTCACACACACACACACACACACACCTGTTTACTGTACACACACACAATTTTACTGTTTGCATTTCTAGTACAACCCTCTTTCCTTAGCTCAAGTATGCAAACCTATTTGCCACATGCACTGGAAAATGTATTACATTGAAAGTTAAATTTTCATGATCTTTTTATAAAGTATGCGTTCATATATGTGCTTCATTTTCACTGGAGGAAACAGCTGTGGTGTGATGAGGGGTGAAAGCAGCGAAAACTTAGGCTACAGTAGATGGGGAACTGATTGATATTTTGTAAACTGTATTTATGACAAAGAACAGAACAGCACAGATGCAGATATTATTACAACAATCTATCGTTAAACACACCTTGTCCTCTGTTTCTTGCTCTGCGCACTGCGGTCAGCGGATTGAAAAAGAACGCGCTGAAAGACGGGGAGGAGTCGATCGAAGTCTGCCGCCGTTTTCATATGAAATGTAAAGGGGATTAAGGTGATCACGAATTTGTGTACAGTTTATGGAGCTAATCACAAAATTTTAGGGGGACTGAGTAGTCCCATGATGTTGACGTCAACGTGAAACATTAGCATATTGCCCACCCACTTGTTGGTCTTTTCGCCTTGGTCTGAATGAAAATGCAAATTCATTCTTTGCCACTAGGTGCTGCTTTTGGAGTGGTAAAAATAGCGGTTTCCCCGGTAACGCTGTACACAAAGCAGCACTGCGCTCACAAACGCTGCTTTATCAGGCATTACAGGCGAGATGAAATGAAACTGAGACCAAGCGGACCAATCACCGCAGATTAGCGTCACGCAAAGGAGGGGTTTGGAAAAATGAATCGTTAAACGAATCGTTTGGGAGTCGTTGAGCAAGTAAGGTAAAATTAAATGCATATTATAAGACAATGAAAGTGTTTTTTGACCTTGCATGCATGTCAACTAGGGATGCTCCGATCCGCCTTTTTTGCCTCCGATACCGATACCGATCCGATACCAGTGAAGTTTTTTTCCCTCATTTAAATAAATGTAGAATTTATATATCCCTGTGTGTGGAACTGATAATCATTCTTTCACAATCTACTAGATACAGACTACTTCATTATAAAGAAAAATAAAATAAACAATATATGAATATCGGATTGGCGCATCCCTAATGTCAACCTGTTGTTGGGGAAAAATATGGCAAAAAATATGCCAAAAACCAAAATATGAACCTTTCATTACCCATAATAGGGGCACTTTTATAAATTAAGTTGTTTCTGTGCATTCAAATAATTAGACATGCTTTAACAGAGTTTGGTAACAATAAAACAGAAGGTGGAAAAACAAAACAAAACAAAAAAAAAAACATTTCATAGGGCCCTAAATGTAATTTTTGTTAAACTTTTAATAAATTGATGTTAAATTATATGAGTTTCATAATTTTAATTAATTAGACTTGCTTTTTGATAAATACAATGTTATTTAACCATAAAAAAACAAGTCCAGAAAAATTAAAATGCAAAGAAACAGAATTTGGGAAAAAATAAAATGGATTTCATAGGGCCCCACTTATAGCATGGGGGTAGCTTGACATTTGAGCATGAGAGGGCCAAACCGAGAAAGTCGATTTGGTCAGTCACACTTTTAAACACATTTTAGCTGTATAGTAAACCTACAAACTCACACTTCGTGTACCTTATTCAAGTGATTTTACTGTGATAATAATACAGACTAGCAGCAAGCATTTGAGATTGTAACTGCAACCAGATGCATCACACGTGAATTACTTGTAAGGGCTCTTTTGCCACAATAAACTGAGCAAGAAGGCTTTGAAAATAATGCAACACTATCTCAAAGTAGACTTTTATAAGCAGATCAACTAACCCACTGCTTTAAAACATTTGCTGGGCAGGATTTAAATTAAATGTATTATTAAATTACTACTGTTAATAATAATGTGTATAGAAAATTCAGATACAGAAACACTACTGTTCAAAAGGATTTACTGCAATAATATATATTAATATTTACTAGTATTTAATAATTAGTAATATTTTTGACAGTCTCTTATTCTCTTATTTTAGCTGGTGAAAATACTAGTGTTCTACTAATTTTGGCCACCACTGTATAAGTAATAAAAAGAACAGCATTTATTAAAAATTGACAATTTAAAAGTTGACTGTTACAATGTAATTTTTTTTCTGTCACTTTTGATCAATTTAATCATGTGTCCTTGCTTAAAATGTACTTTAAAAATGTCCTACCTAAAAAAAAAAGAAAGAAAAAAAGATCCCAATTAAAAAATAAAACCTCTGAACTTTGACTGTACTATGTTTTTGTTTTCTGTGCAAAAATCATAGACGCCTCTAGCACTTTAGCAGCATGGGTGGTCATTTCACCTCGAAACTGCACCAATTTGGACCTGCAGCAACGTATTTCACATTTCGCAAAAGTGCAGTCTGTTTTTTTCTCATGAGGCCGAGTAGATCATTACAGAACTCAATTACATATGAAGTCCAAGAGGCAGAGCAGCAAAAACAGCCTGTTTAAGCATAAGGGTCAGCGAGAGGGCGGAAAATGACCATATAAAACTACATCACAACATGCACTGAAACCTTGAATAACATTTTAAGTAGTGCTGGGCGGTATGACCAAAAATTTATATCACGATATTTTTCAAAATTATACCGGTTTCACGGTACATGACGGTATTTTTTTTTCTTGCATGACCGGGTGCTAACCATATTTTCTACTGTTTGAGAGAGGAAATACTGCAGTATATTGACTTAGAATGCCCTATTTTACTGTCATGATGAGTGAATATTGTCAAAAAATACCACACTAAATAGTGACTAAACACGACCCCTTTTAATACATGTTAACCAGGAGTCACTCTCATTTATAATCGCGGCATCGTCTGATAAAATCAACATGCATCTACACTAAAGAGCGGCTATGCGGTTGTTTTGGCTATATTACTTTTTTGTCTCATGCAGCGCACTGCCTGCGTCTGAGTAACAAACTAAAAAAAAAAGTGCATGTGATATTAACAGACGAACTACGCTCATATTTATAATTCCAAACAATCAGTAAGCGACAGGTGCTAGGAAACGCTGTTTTGTACTCATTTATTGACGAATCGGCTGCGGTGCGGCCAACTGAATGCACTGCTTCTCTGCCGCTCACTG